AAGTGCATAGATTTGAGGAGTGCCCAGGCACAGGAAGTGCATAGATTTGAGGAGTGACCAGGCAAAGGAAGTGCATAGATTTGAGGAGTGACCAGGCACAGGAAGTGCACAGATTTTAGGAGTGCCCAGGCACAGGAAGTGCACAGATTTCAGGAGTGCCCAGGCACAGGAAGTGCACAGATTTCAGGAGTGCCCAGGCACAGGAAGTGCACTGATTTCAGGAGTGCCCAGGCACAGGAAGTGCACAGATTTGAGGAGTGCCCAGGCACAGGAAGTGTATAGATTTGAGGAGTGCCCAGGCACAGGAAGTGTATGGATTTGAGGAGTCCCCCGGCACAGGAAGTGCATAGATTTGAGGAGTGACCAGGCACAGGAAGTGCATAGATTTGAGGAGTGACCAGGCACAGGAAGTGCACAGATTTCTGGAGTGCCCAGGCACAGGAAGTGCATAGATTTGAGGAGTGACCAGGCACAGGAAGTGCACAGATTTCAGGAGTGCCCAGGCACAGGAAGTGCACAGATTTCAGGAGTGCCCAGGCACAGGAAGTGCACAGATTTCAGGAGTGCCCAGGCACAGGAAGTGCACAGATTTCAGGAGTGCCCAGGCACAGGATGTGCAGGAGAATCCACATCTGACCTCCGCAATGCCCATATCATATAAAGACTCTGAACTGAGCAAGCCACTGAGATGAGCCGTGGAACATTCCTAACCTCACGGAGCGAGTCCAGCTGAATGTGACTAGTACTAGCCATTGATATCATGCCTCCGTACGCGCTGTGCAGGGCGATCCCAGGCGGCGGGTTTTCTGAATCTGCCTCTTTATCTTTCAGGAGCAACTGTATTACAGCAACTTGCAGGAGAACATCAACAGCCTGGCCCAGAAGCTGGAGAAACATGGACGGGCCGAGAGCCGCGGCACGTCCAACCGGAGGAAGCACCTCAACAGAATGTGAGTAGTGGGACCATAAGGGGGTGATAGGGTTAGGCCAGAGAAGCCCCTCAAGGCTGACACAAGGGTGGTCTATGATACAAATGTCTTCATCCTACCTTAGCTTCTCATAGCTTATCAATCCGCCTTGACTGCCAGACTTTGGAAGGGGCGTGGGCTTAAAAAAGCCACCAATTAAATGCCAGCTGAGCACAGATCAGAAAGTGAGCCATTAGGACCTATAGGCAGTGGCGTCACAAGGGGGGTGCGGCCAGCACCCGGGTGCCACCATTGGAGGGGTGACACCAAAATGACTGACAGTCGGGGGCGTGGCTTGGACATGGCGGTGTAAGGACACAGGTTTGAGGAGCTCTGCACCCCGACGGTTCTCATAGTGGTACCAGTGACTTTACAGACCCTTTTTTTTGCATGTCGCAGATCCGTGACACCCGGCAGACACCTAGTGAACAAGGTCAACCGGATCTTTTTCGCTTCTTCCTGCGATCAGGTACGGCACATAGCTCCCGCGCGGCCTACGCCATGGGGCCTACGAAAACCGCCACGCAGGGCCCGGCCTCAAACACCCGATAAGGCCGGCTGACATCAGTCCCCGCTGACAAACCGGTAACCTCCCCGAGCCCTCCGCCATCCCCGATTTCCACGCCGGTGCTTGTATATGGGGAATCCTCTCAGGCTGCCTCACCTATGTCAGAGGTTCGGGATGAGCCGCAGGGGGATTGGCGCTCCATCCTTTCACATCTCCCCACCAGGCAGGACATGGACTCCATGGCGGACAAGATTGTCCATGCACTGCGCCAGGAGGTACATGAAATCAGGAACCGGGTCGCCTCGGTCGAGGGTAGAGTAGAGGT